TAATAATGCTTAAAAAAAATAATCCAAAGCTACAAGACTAGACTTGATTAAGCTAGAGAAACATAATGGAAGTACATGGAATAAAACTACTCTATATTTACAATAAAAAGACTTAGTTTGCTATAAGGCAGAAAACAGGTCTGTTGTCGGCAGCATAGTCTTTGGCATCAGGGTCTGCGCGCGCGGCGTTGTCTGCGCGCGCGACGCTGTTGGCATCTGCCTGCGGTTGGGCGCTGGCGAGGGATATCGGTGGGGCGACAGAGGCACATGCGCGCTTGTCACTTGGCGTGCCCCAAGGGGTCATGGGGCACGGCTGGAAAGCCACCCATGACAGTAAATGTTCCTTTAATAGTTTTATATTTTTTTACTAGACTAAACATAATTGATTAGAGTTTCAATACACAACTAGCACATAAGGTCACATTTCTTTTCCATTTTTAAAAAGGAATCACATTGTTCTTGTCTTGGAGAATGATTTCTTCATTTCACAAAGAAATTCACACGTCAGATGCATATCTCAAAAAGATCACACATCTCCCTTTTGGATTTTTCCACGGACTCAAAACAGTTTTTGGCAGAAAAAGATTCGTCCTTTTCCTTTATTCCCCAGGTCATGCGCACACACAACGGACACTCACCCGTCCCCTGCAAATGGAGTTTTGCTCCTCCTTGATCTCTATGATAAAAACACGCACCCGGGAACAAGAAGGCAGAGAAATACAGATCTAAAAAACCAGATCTGGGAAAAGGAGGGAGGAGCAGCCGCACAAACAAAAAGAACTTTTCTTCTCCTCCATTTTTTCTTTACTCTGTTGTGAGCTCACTATAGAAGCCATAAAAACTTCTGCACCAAACTCGTGAAAATGCAGCCATGAAAGGCCAATGTTCAGCTTCTTCCTTGTGCCTTATTCGCTACCAAAATAGCCACAAAACACCTCAAAAAAGCTTACAAACACCTAAAACAACCAGATCTTCATCATCAAGCATTTTCTCCATAAAAAGTGGTTCAGTTTTCTCCATTAAAACCAAGTAAACAGCCCCAAAAACCACCCTAAAACACCCGCAAAATAGCTCGAAAATAGCTGGAAACCAGTCATTAAAACCTGCAAAAACGTAGCAGCTCTGACCCTGTTGAGCTTCAAATTTTCCCGATAGGCTTCGAGGTCGCCGCCGTTGAGGATCGTTCGTGGTTCGGTTCGCGTTTCTGCCCAAAGTATGATCGTCGTGTCGAGTTCCGGTCGCAACTATCCCTTTGTTTCCGTCCGTGTGACTGCTGGAATTTTTATTAATTGAAAACAACTTCAGGTTCCATTCTTTCCTCTCTCATTCTATTATAATGTCGATTTTAATATGGTTTGATCCCAGACTATGGTTTTTGCTGGATTTGTGATGAGAAATTGGTTTGAATGAATTCTTATTTCTCTATTGTTTGTCAAGTTGACTTTTGCTAAGTTCCACTAGAAAAAAGTTGTTGTGTCAAGTCCAAAGCAAGCAGATTCAAAATGTTCAGTCTATCTTCTCATATATTGGTGCTTCTGTGAATACCTGAGACAAAACCAGTCTTTTATTAGTATTGCCAAAAGGATATGTATGGTAGAGTGTAGGCTTCCCATCTGCTATAAATGCAACATGATTAGTTATGAAAGACTAGAACCAACCTAATTAAATATGTTGAATATCATATATTTGAATGTATGCTCAAGATGATGTCCACGGTAACATAGGGGATAAGTGGTGTGCCATTATTTTTACTTACTTGAGCGGCTCAACTGCTCGAATTGGGTTGTGGGAACTGGGGAAAGGCCGAGCTCATTACTGATTAAATTTAGACCATCTGAAATTGATTCAATAAAGATCAGAAATCTAATTTTTCGATTACTGGTCCATTCCGGTTTTGATACTGTATCTCCAGATATATTACTCAAAAGAACGTAGCCGCATGACACGTCTGTCTCCATACCAGAGTGAATGAAAATTGAAGATGTAGATAGGGGAGACTCGAACTTTGTTGTAGTGTAGCTTTCTACTCAAACATCTGAAAATGTTACATTAAATACAACTGTACTGTGTCTGCTAACTGGTTGCTACCAGAGACGCACTAGTATTAGCAACTTTGTTCCAGAAAATTTGCTCAGTGTCAATGAATTTACTCCAATGAGCAATGTCTAAGTGAGGTAAAGAAATCTGCTACGTTAACATCATCCAAATCAAACATTCTTACAAGGGTACCATGATTGTTCTGTATCCCTCCTTTGTGTTATTCCACATGAGGGTTTGAGAAGCATCAACTACGAACAATTGCGTCTGGGGTATAATGTTGGTCACACAATGGAGATTGATGTACATTCGAATTGCCAGAAATTTCTGCCAAGCATAGTATTCAACACTTGTGTCCAAAATTTCGATAGCTAATTTCTCAATCAGCAAAATAGTGTAGAAGAATACACTGATAGCACCTTCAGGAGAGATTCATCCTCAAGTTTAAAGGCTTATAGGTTCACAAGCCAACTATTCTCAAACCGAATTCTGAAGGCCAACGTGCAATACTGGGATTATCTTCAGATTCATGTATATCCAATCTTCCCCAAAAATGTTCTCTCTCCACAAAGTCTTGAGAGCCAAAAGACCATCCTAAATTGCTCCTTAAGTTTCAAACTTGGTAACTTCAATACAATAAAAGCTACGCTTTGTGAGCACTTAATTTTTTTATCATATTTGGATTTTTCACCTCCTTTTGTTATTTAAATAGTTTTTAATTTTAATCTTGATATTTTAGCTTTTGTTTCACCTTTTATCGGTTTTATTTAAGAAAATTAAAAACCAACAAAAAGATTCACATTTTTAGAATATTAAATTTCCTTCTAATTTGTAAAAGAAAAGAAAAATCACAAAAAAAATATATTTTCCTTTAGTTTTAGTAATTTGGTGACTTTTGTAAATGTTCCTTTAATAGTTTTATATTTTTTTTTGCTAGACTAAAAATAGTTGATTAGAGTTTCAATACACAACTAGCACATAAGGTCCAAACCTATATACACCGACTCGTGCTGCATCAGGTACAGCTTCCATTACAAGTGATTCCAACGCAGGGACTTGCAAAGACCAGTACTTAGTTTCAGACCATTTGTTTGAAACTAAATAAAGTAAAGATTTCTAGACGTTTGTAATGATCTAAGAAAGAGACCGTCAAATTAGCAACAGCCTTATCTAGACGCTCATGAACCGTGTTAACTAGATCAGTGCATGAAGGACAGTGGACGGAAGATGTCTTCTTAACACCAGTTTTATGGCAGATACAGCACACTGTGTCTCATGGGTGCTAAACACATCCCAGCACTGAGCTAACCGGTTATGTAGAATGGGCATTGCAAGTTTCACCACCAATTGAACAGGATTGGCATCAGCGTCATCAAAGCTATTTGGATTTTCATCTGTAGGGAGTCCATACTTATGAAGCAAAGTATAGGTGGAATGACGCAAAATTATAGTTCAAAGTTAAATCTTAAAAGAGCATGTATATATGTATATTTTACATATTAGAATCTTTTTATAAGTCAAAAGTTCCTTACCAAGATGGTGTTAGAGATGTGAAAAATTTGTATAGATGTGAATATATGGCTCAACGACATCTTTTCGTATTTGAATATTTCATATATATCAATTATAATGCTACGAACTTCTAGGTCCCAAAAAGGAAGTCTCACAGTCGGACAAGAAAAAGTTTCCTCTCACAACCCCTGAGTCTAGTATTTACAAAATTTGAGAGGAAATGCACTTACCATTTCATATTCATGAAATCTGCATTTTCATGTAGAGGATCCCACTTCAGAAGCTTCAGCCTCACATAGGGTGAGAAAATAGCAGGTATACAAACAGACATGTGCATCATGATAGCTTGAAGTATAATCTTTCTTCCATCTATAAAACTTTCTCACAACTACGGAAAATTTAGAGTATTCATGTTTATCACCAAAAATCTGTTTAGTAGAGTGAAGCAATTGATCACGCTGAGACCGATACGCATTGCTCTCGGTGTCACTTTCATCAATGTCTAATTCTCCTTCTATTGGCGGATAGGATCCTATAGCTGGCATTCTCATAACATCATTTCTTGCTCTCCTGTGTTCTCAGGCATTTGCCCTTTTACTCACATCCATCTGATTCTGCATATTCCCATCTTTACTGAATTCATCTAGCTCGACTGGAAAATTCCCTCGTTCCCTCACAACTGCTCTTAGAGCCAGAGCAGCAGCTGCCACAACTTTTATTCTTTCTGCATTACCACCTCCTCCTTTACTGAGAACTTGATTTGCAGTACTTATAGCAGCTACTAGTTCCTTCATGTCATCATCACTATCGGCATCTCTCCTTTCTAAGATGGTTGTTGCTCGTTATTTGTGAAGCTTCTGCATCTTATCCTCAAGTTCCTCAATGCAAGGAGCTTTATGCTGTAAGGAATAAAGTCACTGAACAATTAGCACATACAATCAAGGCATCTCGCTTTAGAAGATTTTGAATTGCAAATAATTTGGAAAACCCAAGAACAACAAGAAATTATGACATGCTTCATTCAAGGTTCAAATGAAACAGATTTAGTTGTTTATATATGTCCTTCATGTATATTTTTTGTTATCTACCTAAAGGAAAATATCCCCTGTCACTATGTTATTAGTTTCTTTCTTTTTAAACCAAGTAAAAGTCTTAACTATTTAATGAAGCCCAGCAATAAGAAAATGCTGGGTGGAGAGGCTACAACAAAAATACTGATTCATTACAAATTCTGAGGGTGGATAATCATTCCAGGTTGCTAATATCAAATGTTCCTCGGAAATAATTAAGCAATAGATGACACCCTCGGATCATTTTCGAAATCCATGTTCACCTGGCTACACCCAGGGGACTTGTTCAAACGTTGCTCTTCATCAACTCTCTCATGCGATAAGCTTGACTCCATCTCCCATCAGAGGCATATAAATTTGACATAAGCACATAGTAACAAGCATCATGAGGATGCAACTCCAGCATTTTCCTCACTGCTACCTCCCCCAGGTCAAATCTGGTGTGAATACCACATCCATGGAGAAAAGCAGCAAACACAGAAATATCAGGTTGAATTGGCATATTTTCAATGAAATCCAGGGCTTCCTTAAGCCGTCCAGCGCGAGCCAGTAAATCAACCATACATGTATAGTGCTTCATGGAAGGAACAAACCTATATTCCTCACACATTGTATAGAAAAATCTCCATCCCTCCTCTATCATCCCTCTATGGCTGCAAGCAGATAGTATAGAAGTGAAGATTATATCATTAGGTTCAAAACTTTCCCTGATCATATCACTGAGAAGCGCAAAGGAATTCCTGCAGTCCCCTTGCATTGCATAGCCACCTATCATCGAATTCCACGTCACTGCATTCCTATCTGTCATCTCATCGAAAACAACACGAGCAGATTTTGCATCACCAGATCTAGCATACACATTAACAAGTGCAGTACCTACATATAAATTAGACGATAAAAGACCCTCTTTGATAGTAAAAGCATGAAAAGAAGAACCAACTCTAGGATTCGCAAGTGAAGCGCAAATTGATAGGACAGGCACCATAGTAAATTCATCCACCTAAAGATGTTCAGATCTCATTCTATGAAACAATATCAGACCCTCATTAGCAGATCCATTCAATGAACACGCAGAAATAAGTGAGTTCCAGGCAACTACATCATCGTGTGCGAAGTTCTCAAATAAGCAACGAGCATCTGCGATGGCACCACACTTCGCATACATGTCCACTAAAGCATTTGTCACAGTAGCCTCATACATTCCTAGCTTAATCCATAGAGTGTGAACTGATTTTCCCATCTTCAGATTGTTCAACTGTGCACATGCTGAAAGTACACTAGAAAGAGTGATTGAATTAGGCAATATTCCTTGCCATTTCTCGTCTGTAAAGAGTTTCAATGCCTCATCTGGATAGCCATTTTGACTATATCCAACAATCATCGCTGCCCACGTAACAAAATCATATGCACAAAACTCATCAAAAAGCACACGAGCCTCAGCAATAGCTCCACATTTCATATACATATCTACCAGAGCTGTAACCAGGTAGGAATTTAGTTCAATCCCACTTTTTATGATATGCCCATGAACCCATTTCCCTTGATGTAAAGCCCTCAATTTAGCACATGCCGTTACTATACTCCCCAAAGTATATTCATTACCTTCAACTAACCCATCCCCCATCCTATTGAATAAAACCACCCCTTCTTCAGCACAATCATTCTGTACATAACCAACAATCATTGAAGTCCAACAAACCACATTCCTATCTAAAATATCATCAAACACATCACGCGAAGATTCGACCTTTCCACACTTAGCATACATATCAACAAGCCCAGTCAACACAAAACTATCAGGATTTCCACCTTTCACAATATGACAATGCAATTTCCTACCTTCATCAATATCACACAACTCACTACAAGCCTTTAAAACGATCGAGAACACGACATTGTCAAACAAAGTGAGACCTTTTCTTATGAAATTATAAAACACAATAATCTCATCATATGTATCGTTCATAAAATACCATCTTATCATTGCTTTACAAGAAAAAAGATCTGGGTTTGGAATTTCATCGAACAGTTTGCGAGCATTCTTTAAGTGCCCAAACAGTCCATATAAACTAATTAACTTTGTTTTTAAGAGGACATCATGCGTTTCGCCGTGAACTATGAAAAGGGCATGGAATTTTTTGAGAGAAGAGAGGGTTCTGCAAAGATTCAGAAGTGCAAAACATGGGTTTGAAGATATTGATGCCAAGCTTGATTCGGTGCCTATGGTGTTCGGCAGGAAATTTTGGCTGATTCTTGTTGAAGTAAAAGCTCTATATTGAGTGAAGTGAGAGAGTTGTTTTTGTAGTTGAATGAAAATTTTCATACTTCATCCTTCACTGCCGCTGGGGTTGGCTGGGTTCTTGATTTTCAGTTAGCAGCTTCTCGCAATTAGGCAGGCGTATTCTGAATATTTCAAAACATAATTTCTTTTAATTTACTTCTTTTCTATAAATAGAATTAGGATGTCTATTTTTCCTTTTTTTTTATTTTTCTTAGATACTAATAAGAGATAGGACAAGCTCAAATGGATAAACTAACATAATTCAAGTTAATTGATGATTTAACTTTATATTACGCACATTTGAGTTTCACTAAGAAATTTAATCCTTATTTTATTTACTGAACTTTAGTGTCTAAAATACTGGTGAAATATTGAAAAAATTGTTTAAGAGTATCTCAAACGAAATAAATGCTTTGTCAGTTTTTCAAATCACAAATGCTTTCACTAATTTTTTTTAAGTTAAGTTCATGTCCAAACCTAACTTTAACTTGCAAATACTTTTTTTTTTCAATTTCAACTTCAGATTTTGTTTCTTCAACCTCAATCTGATATTGTTTGACCGCTTATTAAAGTTTCAACTTGAACCTTAAAGATATTATACAAAGCAGTGTTAGACCCTTTTATTTTCAAAAAAAAATAGAATATATATAATCAAAGTGATTAAAATATAAAATTAAGCTATGACAGTATTATTCTCTTTGTTTTTAAAAGGACGATAATGACATGATATGAAGGTCAAACTATCTAATTCTTATTTTATATTTTTAATATGATAATAATTCATTTAACTAATATTATAATTTAATTCTAATTCTTTAAATTTCACTATTTCATTATTTTTTTCTTCTTAATATTAATTTCCAATATTTCTTTGAGCATACGTTTTTAAAATGAATCAAATTGTTCCTCAAGCTAAGACATAAAGTTTAATATTTTATTGTTTTTTTAATCTTCATAACTACATCAGTACCCTCTAGATCCAATGAAATCCTTCTTTTCCTCTTAATTCTTTTGTAAAACTTTCTCTAAGTTTTTGCTCAATTTTTGTAAATTTATTAGCATAATATAAATGTCCTACTATTAGGGAATTTATTTTTAATATCATTGTGAAAAAGCTAATACCTCCATGATTCAACGATATTATATTAAATTTGCACCAGGTACCATTACATAGCCTGATAATACTTGATTTTAAACTATTGTGTTTGCTTATTGATCATTTCATATTCTTTTTTTTTTTTTTGGTAAAATCAAGTTTTTTCCATATCACTATTTTGTGGCTAATTCACTTCACTTGTAATACAAAATTTTGATTAAAAAAATATTTGCTTCGTTTTAAATAAATATCTTGTATTACTTCTAGAGTATTAGGTTGGTATGTTATTTTATTTTGATTAATTTTCTATAATCTATTGAATAATTTTTTGTATCCCAATCAAAATTGACCTTAAATTGAAATTGATAATAAAATCTTTAGAATTGAAAAATTAATGAGATGATCCTTATTATGTGCATGAGCAATACTTTTGGACAGTTAAAAAATTAATTCAACATGTTTGTCCAATAAGAAATTACAAGAAAACTACATATAATAATAAAAATTTGCACACAGAATGAAAACGAAGTCTTTTTAAAAAGAAATAAAAATTAATGTGTCTGCAAAGCTAAATAAACTAGAATTGTATTTTATGATTTGCTAGAAAATACAAGAAAAGTGCTAGAGAGGGTGAGGGGACGTGGGGGC